CTAAGTATGTACGCAACAAGGGGCAGAAATACCAGGAAAAGTAATTGCTTACATTTAAAAAAAACTGAGGAGGAACGAAAAGAATTATTCGATTAATGACCCAGAGTACGTTATGAACGCACTTAAGAGTTCGGAGTTTTATACATGCAGCATATATGTTGGAAATCATACAGACAAAAAAGACTCCAGTATAAGTTAAGAGAAAGAATTGAGCCCAAGGCATAGACAAAGGATAGAGTTGTTAGAAGATCGTATCATGGATATTCCATAATGCCCATGAAAGGCTAAAGTAATAACTACTACCAGGAGCTGCAGATCGGAAGATAGCTTAAGCCTATATAGAGGCTGATCAAAAGGAAGAGGAAACTAAAGAGTTACATCAATCAAGTAAATCAGGAGTCTGATTATTAGACCCAGAAAATTATAGAAATTGTGATTGAGAACGTTGGAGGATCACCCTTAAAATTAGAGGTACAAGAGAGATAGTACAACAGCCATATTCTATAATGGCTCTACGATAAAGCTAGTTAGAAAAGTATCAGCCTCATAAGAAGTTAATACGAAGCTCCCATCGGATTGTGTATACACCAGAGGTGCAAGTATTATAATAGAACTTCAAGTTATGGACGTGAATTATACCTATGTGGAAGGGAGGTCATGAAAGAAATAGAAGATACGATGCAAGATTTTAAGGTAGTAAGGTAAATGTGAACAACGTACGAATAGTCAAATGCAAAAGGTTGTGAATAGTCCATACTTTGGATAAAAGACTAGAAGCGGGGGGATTCAATATTCAGGAATAATAGCAGCATCGTCAGTAGCATATCTTCCAGCCTATGGTTTCTAGGTACCGAGAGATCTAGTCAAGAGAGCAAAGAAGAGTTGGAGACGATGTGATGTCTCGCTTGATGTTTCAGAATAACATAAGAAAATATATGGTGCAAGCAAGTTGAAGGAATGTGGCAAATAATATCAATAGATATGTGTAGGTCGCAAGCTAAAGTATGGTAAAGTGACAAGGTTTTAGGAAGACCTGAGTAAAGATAAGAAAGGGCAAGTGAGAAGGTGAAAAGAATGGATAAGTCCTCAGGATTAAGCCCATGAAAACAAGAAGATGTGATGGTTTCTCTAAGTTATACAAAGCTCAGTATAGCCTGAATGAACTCAAAGGAGTCGAAGACTAATGGCATTAAGAAGATATGGAATGCTGCCCTGATAGTAGAATGGGGGTGTAATTGTGATAGATAAAGGATGACGTTTGGGCCTTCGATTGAGTTATGATTTGATGGAAAAAAAGAAGAAGAAAGGGATTTCATGAATTATACATGATTAAAATGCCCACATAAGTTGAATCACATTGGGATGCTATGAAATACAGCTATAAAAGCATGGTATCACCCCAGGTGGATCAGTCTAATCATTTCAGATGTTCCCCGATGAGATGTGAGCCTAGTGATTACTAAGAGGTTTCAAGTTATCAGTGATAGATTGTAGATCAATATTGAGGTGAATCAATAATGGATGGATAAAAGTTTCAAAGTATGAGATAAGATTAGTCCATCATTCTTAAGATGAACAATAATGAAGAAGTACTAAAAGACTTAGATTTATACATATACGATAAACAACAAAAGTAACCTCGAGTTTGGTAGCAGACCTCAATAACGATAAATCGAAGTAAGAGTTATGGTATAATATTACCTACCTTGATGCAGTAAAGTCATACGGATGGATAACCAGGTCTATGAAATAAGATATAATAATATTCGTAAGTTCGACAAAGTACCGAGCGAAGAACTTCAGTATACCTATAGATGCCTAGAGGACATCTTATTAAGCTCTATATATGTTTACAAAGTGAGGCCTAGAGATTGGCTAAAAGATGGAGGAAAAAAGAGAGAAGAGTCGCACAAGCGCACTTACAAGGTCAGAGTCGTACAGGCTGTATGATAGAAGGTAGCAACAGTTATGAGATTGGAAGGATTCTGACCATAAGGCGTGGTGTGAGAAAGAGGCCTAAAGGGGGGATTTCCCTCGCCTTTGGAATTATTCATAGAACAGTTGCCTAGATGTCAAGGAGAGTACTAAAATATTCGGAAGACATAGGTTTTGAAAATAATAAGTACATTAGTCAACATTCGAGGACGAATGTTTCAAAGAGGGGAATGATGTTACACCTCATATTTTCTTACGTGGATGTACACCATAAGTAAATTAATATAAGCTCGGAAATTAGATGTTGTATTCCGCATTTTCGTACGTTAAATTTTCGTCGTAAGCTAATCGACGTAGGTTCGGGAATGAGATTATTTTGAGATTATAAGCATTATGCTATTTCAAACAAGTGATGAGTAAATTCGTGAAGGTAAAAGGGTAACCAAATCAAAGAAAATGAATTTTTGTCAAAGTTTGACATGTTGGGATAAAATACGGCCCGAGCTAAAATACCCTGTATTTATGGACTAGTGTCATACAAGGTACCACATGACTATGATAGTAAGATGTATAAAGTGTATTAAAAGTGAGTATTATTTTAAGTAATTTGAGATAATTCTTAATTATGTGGATAACTGATTAATTATTGGATTAGTGGGGGATTAATAAGTTGATTAAGGAAAATGGGTGAAAACTTGGATAAGTTTAAGTGCATTAACGTGGAAGCACATTGTGCCCACCTAGTGACTCTTGAATTCAAGTGGATAGGTGGCATTTGGAGGATTTTTTGTGGCCAGCTCATCACCTTAGCGGGGCCCACACTCACTAAGGTAAAAGACATCTCAAAAATCCAAAGAAAGACATATCTAATCTTCATAACAAGATATAGTGCTTCAGCAAACTCATACAAGTGATGGAACGTGATTTTTGCTTCAACTTGTACTACGAGGCTTCTTAGAAAAAAGCAACGGGATTTTGCGATTCTAAGGGAGTACGGTGTAATCTTTCTCAAGAATATCATACGGATGTTTCCCTACTTCGATCCGCCGTTACATGTTTTATCATGTTTGACGAATGGTGGAAGGATTTTCAAGAGAATCGACTCAGGTATGTTAAGACTATCCCTTCTTTCTTTTGACATAATCTATACGATACAAACGAAACGAGCAAATACACAATTTCCATAAATGACTCTATTCATAGAAATACTAGAGATGCTTATGTTCTTGATTCCCCATGTGTCATATTATTCTATCATCTGTTCATGGGTCTCAGAAAATACGTAAGTTGATAAAGTCTATTTCATGATATTAATTAGAGGCATAATGGTCTTATGTTNCACCACCTGATCAGCTGGTATACGTTGATGATTTTTCCCACAGTGGCCGATATGATATGATGGGCTGCCCTAAGAGGCTGATGATATT